CCTTCTCTAGGCGGATCGAACTACTATTATCGATACGACTAGACTTACGCTAGTAGAGCTTATAATTAGGAGGGACGCCGTTCTTCCTATTAAGTTGTCCTATCGCACGTATAGCGTTTACGACTAGGGGTCTGTTCGTACTAGAGCAGATCTCCTTGCCCTACGCGCTAAGGCTCTTAAGGATATAACTACTACTTCTTAGGAGGGACTTGCTCGACAACGTCGCCTTCGTAAGGAGGCTAAGCAGTATTTCGACGACTATAATGCTATTAACTAGGAGCCTCTAAAGGTTGGCGATATAGTCCTCCTATACCGGTCGGAGCTAGAATATAGTTACTCCTATAAGCTAGCCTTTAAATAGAAAGGGCCTTATAGAGTATAGGAGGTCCTTTACGATAGTTCTACGTACCGACTTTAGGAACTTAATAGTGCTACCTTAAAGCACTCGCACCCCCGGGCTAACCTAAAGAAGGTCGTCGAGTTAAGAGAGCCTACCTGTCCTCCCCCGACTAAGGAGGAAGTTAATGCCTCTATAGACCCTCTACCGACCTTAGATACCTATCGAGAGGAGGATCCTACCGCGATTATAGATCCTATTCTGCCCGACAACTATACGCATCCCTAGATATATCTTAGTAAGCTATTAGGAATGACTTATAAACAAAGGGAGGGTTATATGCGTATTAATTGCGCGTAGAGCATTTCCGATATTAATTCCGATAGTAAACTAGACTTCTAGCTATCTAACTCTAACTCCGAGGAGGAGCTCGACTAGTCTAGCGACGAAGACCGCTTAGAATTATAGCTAGACCCCGAGACTAAATAATTGCTTATCTTTTCCTACCTCTGCTACGTTACTTTCCTTGCCTTCTCCGCGCTATTAATATAGTGCCGCCCTATAGCTTCAGTCCTTACTACTTATTCCTACGGTGTTAATGCTTATAGTTGTTGCCCTCTTTTGCCTTTACTTTGTCTATTATTCTGCTCTTTAGCCTTCGAAGATGTTGCTATAACTTTATTCCTTTGCTTTTGTTTTTCCTTAGATAGAACTATACGAGGCGTGTTTTCCTAATAATACCCCGGGGGTAGTATTAGGAAGATGGCCGAACCTAACCCCTCTACCCTTCTAGGACTACTTCTCTCTAGATTCCTAGACTCTAGCAACCTTCCTTAAGTAATAACGACAATAAGATACTCTACTAGAGGATGTTCCTACCCTAATTAGTACTAGCTACGTAGGATACTAAGAAAGGGAGGATCCCTCTCCCTTCCTAGCTCTTAGATAGATATAGCAACCTAGGCCTATAGCCTCTAAGAATAGGGACCTTAGGCTATTAAGCTTAGTGTTTAGAAGAAGGAAGAAGGTAAACGTATAGACCACCTTTACGTACTTGCTAATATAAAAGGTAATGCTACATCTATAACGGCAGTACTATAGGCTAACGCATCGACGAATTAGCTACGCTAGGCCTAGGCGGCTTGCTCCTCGTCGCCGAGCATCTCTAGAGAAAAGCTAATACTACCCCGGGGGTGTTATTAGTTCCGCTAGCTTTACTACTATAGATTTCTGCCAAGCACTCGAACTAACTAGTTACATTTCGAGTACGCGAGAGTCTACGATAGCTAAAGGTTAACAAAGGCGCGTAGTCGCTACTAGCAATTAGCTAGATCGATTGTTAAACTTTAGCCTACCCTAATAACAAAGAGGTCTCGTATATAGCTTCACTTTTATATGCAGCCGTTATCCGTTTGCTTTACTAGCGTAGAATATACGGACTACGTCACCTTCGTACTATATTTAAAGCGAGCTTCCTAAGCTCCTTCTTCTACTCGATTACTAACTAACTCGCTACCGCCTAACTACCCCCCTTCTATCTAAACCCTTTAATTATTATTGTTAAGTAACGAACACACTTGCAAACTCGTTTACAACCTACTTCCGCTTCGGTCGACTATATCTTCCGGCGCCCCGAATCCGCTAGGCGCTAGTAGTAGCAACGACTTACCTGCCCCTATTAACCTAAGCCTAGCCGCCCTAGTTCCGATCGAAGCCCTATCCGATAGCGCCTTAGCTGCTGCAACTAGCCTCGAGCACTACTTCTAGATCGTTACCGCCCTTAAAGACCCTTAAGAGAAGATTTAGAACGCTCGCACCCTACTACGCGTTATTAATAGGAACATTAAGAAGGCTGCTATCTTAGTTACGTACGGCATAAACAACTTGCGTTAGTCTATCGGTAAGCGTATCTTCAAGCGCGAGGTTCTTAATAATATAGATATTAAATAAGCCTTTCCTATCGTCTATAGCCTCGAGACTGCCGGCACCTAGATTCGTTTACGCTTTAAGACCCTCGACTAGGCCTTCGAGCATTAGGGAGGACTAAGCAGTCTTCCTAAGAGCCTTATTAACTTCGCCTACGGTAGACAAGAGCGTACAAAGCAGGTCTCTTCGTTCGTTAACAAGTATAAGGTCCGTCGTTAAGGCGCTAAGTACCTTTCCCGCACTATAATCTATCGTATGTCTACCGCTAGTAAGAAGGTAGGCAAGTAGTTACTCAACTTGTCCTTTGCGCTTAACGACTTTACGATATCCTACTAGAAGCGGCACTACGATACGATTGTCTAGATCGATCTTAATGTACAGACAACTAAGGATCTACTAAAAGAGAAGGGCTATCGCATTAATAGTATAGGTTTTATTGTTAAAGGTTAAGAGGCTCCTATCGTTAACGTCCTTAAACGTAAGGCTCTTCGCCTAGAAATAGAGGCCGATACGGCTGCTAGTCTCGCGCTCGCTATAGAGATATAGGCTTAAGACCGTCGCTCGACCCGTAACCGTAAGGTCCCTTAGGAAGTTAAAGACGAGCGCGCTAAGGCCGAAGCAGCGCGCAAGAAGGCATTGCATGCTCGTTAGGCCCTCCGTAAGGCTACTAAGAAGTATAGCGCCCCTTCTAGTACTAACTATAGTACTAACTATAGTAACTCGGATGTTAATATACTAGATGCACTACTAGAAGATGTCTCCTCCGAAGGCTCCTTTAGCGAGCGTAGAGATAGGGGCCTCTCGCCGATCCTATTAACTAAGAACATCTGTAGTTCTTATAAGGGCGACTCTATTGCGTACCTTATTACTAATATCGATATAGTTCCTAAAGCCGATATAGGCAAAGCTCCTGCCGCCCTATCTATCTATTAATAGCTCGACGACCTTAGCAAGCTAGGTAAAGAGCGGTTTACTATATATACTAACTATGTTAAGAAGGCCGCTAAGGTCTATAGTCTTTACGCTAGTGCTAAGACGAGTGTCCTCGTCGGTCGCCTATTAAAGATTAGTCGCGAGGTTGCTAATTAGGATACCTTTACTACCCTTAAGACTAGTTATGCTAACTGGTTTCCTAGACGCTCTGCTGCCGCCCCGACCTCCCTAGGACTCTACGCATTTAACCCTACTAGCACTATTACTCGCGATCTTACGCTAACTAAGCGTCGGTATAAGTTAATTACTAGCATTCTCGGCTAAGGCACTTCCTTCGACCGCTTTCGTTAGACTAGTAATGCTATTTTCCCTCGAGTCTTCGGTTAGATATAGTCGCCTCGTAGAGCGTACCTTCCTCTTATCGTCGACCTAATATAGGAGGAGTTTCGCATATTCTTTTAGTATATACGTAAACTGCCTAAGTCTAAGTAGGAAGGCCGCAATGCCCTTTAGACCTATAGAGTAAGTAACTAAATCGTCTGTTAGCATCCCGCCTTGTAGCTCTTAGCCGTTGCCCTTCGACCTAATTATATATACGAGCTTATCTCCGTCCCTAAGCCTACTAAGTACTTTAAGGTAGGTAATAGCGGTTATAAGAACTGCCCTACTAAGGAGACTTCTCGTCTCGGACAAAATATAGTTAAACTCGCAGCTAGTAAGGGTGCTAGCTATCTACGCATTAAGGTTTCTCTTATATCTAAAGATAAGACCGCCTATTTAACTATTATCGAGGGTATATACGAACTAGAGGTCTTCGAGAACTAGGTTGAGAAGCTTAATGCCCGTAGCCTAGTTCTACTAAACAAGATTAGCAAGCTTACTAATAAGCACCTTACTAACGACGACCTCGGCTATATGTTCGATAGTTAGCCTAACGAAGGCGAGGTAGCTTAGTAGATCCTTAGCCCTCTAAAGGAATGCGAAGTCTCTATTTAGATGCTACACCTTCCGTATAGCGATCTAAAGCCTAAGAGCGACCGTATATTAATCGACCTAGGCTACTCTCGTATTATCGACGGTACTAAGATTAAGGGCTACGATAACTTAACCGTCGCTAAGGTTACTAAGGCGCACTGCAATCTGACCGCCCTTCTAGGTTCTAACACCTTCGTACCGTTCGCCTTCCCTACCGCTATCTTAGTCGAAGGCCTTAGTTATATTTCCGATGCCCTAGTCGGTAGAATTCCTTAGTTAAGTTACGTTGTTTAGAACGAAGTTAAACAAATCCTCTAGTTTAGTAAGGAGGAGCTTAAGGACTATCTACGCGAATAGGAGAAGGCTATATAGGACAAGGCTGCTAATCTCCTCGTTAATTAAGCTCGCTTTAAGGTAGAGTACTTTAGTGCTAATAGCTTTAATACCTGCGGAGGAGTTTAGGATAGTCGACTAGCTAATAAGGTTATTACTAGTAAGGATTACGGTGCATTAAAGCAGCAGTAAGTTAGCGTAGTGGATTAGATGCTTAGGAAGTTGTTTTTGTATATTAATAGAATCTAGGAACAATGCTATCCCGGGGGTGTTATTACGAAGTCTCTAGAAAGATAGCCTTAGCTAAGATGCCTAAGGTTACTATATAACTGTTTGTTTTAAGCGCACAATGTGAAGCGTGTCTAGTTAGACACGAAGAAAGGGAGGGATATTAGCTAGTAACCGGCCCTACATACCTAGGCTAAGTTTTAAGCCTATATAAGAGGCCTCCTTCTGCATTGTAGATAGAGCACTAACCTCGTATAGCATATTGTTTATGTCACACTTCTACAATGCCTATGTTGCAGGGCTCTAGTTATTAGCCTAAGCAACCGTCTTGTTATCCTATTATACTAAATATAGCTGCCTATATTGCTATAGGTTATATTACCCTCGGTAGCCTATACTATTACTACAGGTAGTAGTAGTGGTTTTGGTTTCCGTCCTTTACTAGGGAGTTATTATAACTTCTCCTGTCTATGTCCTTAATACGCACTATTAATATAGTAAGAGCATTAATATGCTTTAAGCCGTCGCGGAGTCCGGTAAGCCGCTTATCCTACGCTTACTTATTAACAATACGGGCTATAGCAATCTTATGCTACAGGGTTAGAAACAATGAATTAATAGATTGCTAAGTCCCGCTATCGTAATTAGGTCGCCTCGATAGGCTATTAGCAGGGTTGCGTACGCCTAGCCGATATAATATATCAAAATTAAACCTAGCGAGGTAGACGGCCTATCTAGCCTATCGACCTATAACCCTAGTAACCTTCGTGATTCTACGGAGGTTGTTATAGTCCGTATAGACCTAAATGGTATGCTAGGTACTATCGAGATAGTAGCGCTAGTGCTTAAAGGCTTTAATAATAGCTAAGAGCTCTTGCTCGTAGGTCTCGTAGCGACGCTTAGCATTAATTATCTTCCTCGAGAAGAAGGCAATCGGGTGCTAGTAATTGTTATTAGCCTGTTGTAACATAATAGCTAATATAGCAAACTGTAAAGCGTTAGTCTTAATGCGGATCTGTTTGCTTAGTACGAGATAGTGCAATAAGGGGACTTTAGTAAAGCGCTGCTTTAAACCGTTAAAAGCGGCTCGCGCTTTATTAGTCTATTTAAACTCTCTAGTCGGGTTAGCCTTAGTTTTAGTAAGTTCAGTTAGTAGCATTATATGCCTCGAATAGCCCTTAATAAATCGGCGATAGAAGTTAGCAAAACCGAGGAACGACTACAGCTCCTTAATTAACGTAGGAATAGGCCATTTAGTAATAGTCTTAATCCGATTAGGATTAGCCTTAATACCCTCGGTTAATACGAGGAAGCTAAGGAATAACACCTCTTTAGTAGCAAAGGTGCATTTAGAAGGTTTGCAATACAGTCTATAGGCCCTTAGGCGATCGAGTACCTTACGGACTATAGCCTAGTGTTCCGCAATATTAGGAGAGTGTATATAAACTAGGATGTTATCTAGATAAACCACACAGAGGTAATCTAATAGGCCTAATAGGGCCCGATTAATATAGGACTAGAATATAGTAGGGGCATTAGCTAGACTAAATAGTATAACTAAGTACTCGAAATAGCTATAGCGAGTACAAAAGGCTGTCTTCTATTTATCGCCCTTGCGAATACGGATACGGTAATAGGCGTCCTTAATGTCTAATATAGTGTAGTAGTAGGCACCTAAAAGGCGATCGAGGGTCTTATTAATAAGAGGAAGTAGACAGCGGTCTTTGATAGTAATAGCATTAAGCCCTCTATAATTAATATATAAACGCAGGCCGCTATCCTTCTTTAGTACGAATAGGATAGGTGCACTAGCAGGGCTGTTGCTATACCGAATTCGACTATTAGCTAGGTTTTCCTCTAGGTACTTACGTAGCATAGCAAGCTCTCGTTTACTAAGGTTGTAGAGGGGGCTAAAAGGAACCTCCTTGCCCTCTATAATATTAATCTTATAATCCGTCTCTTTAAATATAAGCAATGTCGATGCTAGGTAGTGTTTAAATATATTAATATAGGTCTCTCGAATAGGTTCTAGCATACGAGCAAGCTAATTAGGGTCTATGCTATTAGGGGGCACAGGTTCATCGTTATTACTACCGAGTAGGTCGGCCGTCGGATCCGCTAGGGTTAGGTTGCTAATAAATAGGACCCTAATATTATTAGGGCACTCGCTAATATTAATGTGTTTAATATCCTCTTTCCTAGCGATTCTAAATCGCTACTGTTGACTGCCTAAGTCTATAACTATAGCATAGTACTTAAGAACAGGGTTGCTAATAACAATCTTAGATAGGAGGCTGTCTATATCTACTACGTAGGCAGTAAAGTTTAGTAGGCGCTTATTGCCGAGGTCGTCTCTTAGGGCTATATAGACATAGTAGGCTCCGTAGGTTAAGTACCGAGCGTTATTAAACTAAGCAAGGGTTAGCAGGTTAGTCCTAGGCAGTTGTCGAAGGTCTAATTACTTAGCTAGGCGATAGCTAATAAGGGCACTAACTGAATTTCCTAGGTCTAGCGTAACCTTGGTTTTATAATTAGTTCTATACGTGTCCGATACGAGACAGGTACGTATAATAGCTAGTACAATGTCGATAGTCTTACGCCGTACAAGGCTAATAGTTAGTGCAGCGCTTATTCTTTTTTCGACTAATAAGAAGGTTAGCCTATAGGGGTAGCGTTAGCTGCTAAAAGGTGCTTTCGGTGCTTAGCGGTAGCGCGGTCGATTCGGGCCTAGTCCTTAGGTTTGTCGTATTAGCCTAGTAGATAGCTAGTGCTGTTACAATTAAAGCACTTCAGTCCGGTTAGGGGATTGCTATAGCTATTACCGCTGTTATTAGCCGAACGATTAGTACTATAGGGATACGAGCCCCTTCTACGGCCCCTATTACGGCCTCCTCTATATAGCCGTCGGCTACGGCCTCTTCCTCGGTCGTTGTTACTGTTCCTATTGTTAGTACTGTTGTTCTAGTAGGAACCTTAGTTTCCTCCGCGGCTACGATAGGTGGCTAGGCGTATCTTAGATTCTAACCGTTGTTAGAGCTGTACTGTACGCTCTATAGTCTCGACTTTAACTATAAATTGAATGCGTATAAGATTAGTCTGTTTAAACATACGGCGGCGGTCTAATTTAAGGACTAATTCCTATCTTAGTTTTAGGCGTATTTCCGAGATCTATATAGAATTAGTCTTAGCCGGAAGGTTATCCTCGAGGGTCTTTAAATAGGCCTTAAATAAACGAGCCGACTAGTTAGTCTTTTGTTTAGCTCGAAGGTATTAGTCCTAAGCATGCTATTGTCTTAGTATCGGGTTTCTAAGAGTGTCTAGCATAATAGTCTTGTAGGTTTTCTACTAAACAGCAGTCTAATTATTAAGGGAATCGAAATAGTCGTCCTAGGTGCGCTTTAGGTCACTATTAATGTACTGCATAGCGTAAACAACTAAGGAATAGTCGTCTAGAAGAGCCCTTAGTGCATTTCGCTAGTTAAGCTTATAATTACGTATATAATTATTGTACTGCTTGCGGCTAGAGCTATTAAATACGGTATAGTCTTTGAGCTTAGCATCCTTCTTTTAAATAGAAGGTCCTGCTACTAGTTCTAGTCTAGCAGTAGTTGTTAGGGCTTCCTATAGGCGGCGAATCTCGAGGAGATTATCCTTTAGCTATTGTTCTTAACGTAGGGCAGTAAGCCTGTTTTAGGTAGCTTCTTAGAGTCTCCCTACTAGTTGGGGGCCAAAGGCTAGTTAGCTATATCGACGGTTAACAATATTGTTAAGAATGTCGTCGACAGGCAATTCTAGGTCGTTACCTAGAATTACAGGTTCTTCTTTAATAGGCTCTCCGGCAGGCTCTTTAGTAGGAGGCACTTTAGCAGGCACTTTAGCGGGAACTGTACTACTAGCGTTGTTATTGCTAGCGCTGCTAGCGGCAGCACGGTTGTTGTTTCGTAATAAACCGGCTATTATAAGGGGTAACACTAATAATATATTATAGGCCCCTAAGATGCGGATATAGCGGAATTAGTAGGTATTAGTCTAGTACGATTAACTTAGTGTAATAGGCCGTATAGAAGGCCTTGCTTAATGATTAGTACGGTTGTTCTTAGTAGAATAGTACGTATAGGTCCCGTTCTTCGGGCGTAATATAGTCAAATCGATAGTTTTCGTAGCTATACCGCTAAAAGCTTAAAATAAGGACTATCTAGCTGCTGCCCTTAAAGGGTAGATCGAATACTGTATAAGAAGGGTTATATTAGTAGGTAGATAGGGTAGTAGTGAATTAGTGTAGTATTCGATAAGGATCTAGGAGGAGAGGGAGGAAGGTAGGAGAGTTAGCCTAACGCTAAGCGCCAAGCCCTGCCTAAGGTATTAAGACCCTAGCTTTACTCGGCCTAGTTACATGCCAATTACGTATAGCCTCTTTGGCCCTAACAGATATTCTACCGGTTATAGCGTTACTTATCGAGGAGATCTATCGCCTTTATCGGAGGGACCTTCTATTTCTTGCTAAGACAACGTTCCTAGCGCTTTAGACTATATCCGCCGCGGAGCTTTGCTTAGTTACGGCTAGAAAGGTAACTATAATACTAACTAAGCGCTATCCCTCGAAAGTAAAAAGAGAGGTTAAAACAAACTATCTCTCGCTCTACGATATAAGTATAATCCTTAGCCGCTTCGATAAAAGTATATACTAAATAGTATATTATCTTGTTCCCGACTAAAGCGTAGTCTCTCTTGCTATAATCCGTAATACTAAGTAGAGGATCGAAGAACCTAAGATACGCTAGATCGAACTATAGCTACTAGGGGCGGGCGTAGTACCCCTAGATATAACTCGCTTTAGAAACTAGCGATTCCGCGACGTAGTCCCGATAATGCTAATAGTATCTACGACGGCGGGCGTGTCTATAATAACTAGTATCTAAGGAGCTATCGTTATCTAATAAGGATTAATCGGAGTCGTCCGAATCCTTACTATCTAATAAGGATCTATCCTTACTCGGATTATCTCTATACCGACGGTGCTTCTAGCGTTACTTCTTACCTTCCTATAGTAGACCCTATAAGTCTAATAGCGGAAAGGGCAAAGGCTAACCCTACGTCGGCTTACGAGAGGAAACACCCGAATCGAAGTTAAAATGTGCTCCTAGGCGGCTAGCGCGTGCCTAGAGGAGTGCGAGCGAAGCTTTCGCCTTATATATACTAAGCTAATTCGGTTCTTTAGACCTCGAAGCTAGACCTTAAAGCTATTACTATTATTATACGATTTAGTTCTATTAGAATAGTTTATTAGGAATAAGTATTTTTATATTTTTGTATTACTATTTTTCTTTTCTAGTATTTTAGATACTACTTTATTATTTTTAACTTTATATATATTACTTACTTTTATTCTAGTTTTCTCTAATTTTTTATATCTATTACTACTTTTTATATTATTAAAAAAACTATTTTTAATTTTTTTCTTTAATGTTTTACAGTTTTTCTATTTAGTATCTTACTTGTTTTACTTACCTATTTTATATTTTCTTATTTATTTTTATTATATGTTTTCTTTTTTCTAATACGTCTAAGTCCTCTTATTTATATCCTTATTTATTACTTGTTTTCTATCTTACTACTTAGTTTAGTACTAGCTTATTATTTAGTCTATTAATTAGCTTATTATTTAGTTTATTATTTACTTTGTTCTCTAGTTTTTTATTTAATCTATTATTTGCTTTATTATTTAGTTTCTTCTCTAGTTTATTATTTACCTTCTTTTTAACTTTATTATAAGTTATTTATTTACTAGAATATAATTTATTTTATTAATTGTTTAACTAATTGTTTAACTAATTGCTTTACTAATTGTTTAATTAATTATTTAATTAATTGCCTTACTAATTGTTCTACTATTGTTTTATTCATTGTTTTATTAATTGTTTTGTTAATTGTTTTGTTAATTGTTTTGTTAATTGTTTTATTTATCGTTTTATTAATTGGTTTATTAATTGTTTTGTTAATTGTTTTGTTAATTGTTTTATTAATTGTTTTGTTAATTGTTCTATTAATTGTTTTATTAGTTGTTTTATTAGTTGTTTTATTAGTTGTTTTATTAGTTGTTTTGTTTGTTGTTTTGTTAATTGTTTTACTAACCAGGATAGTACCCGTACGTAAGTACTTCTGCTCCTTCTACTTACGTAGTAATAGCGGTAGCGCCCGCGAGTTTTTAAATTTTATATATACCTAGTATAGCGGAGCCGCGAATTTTAGGGTTCCTCGCTCTTATTCTCGCTCTCGTTCCTTTAATATTTTTCGGTAATTTTATAAATTTAAATCGTATGTTTTCTATAATTAAAATTATTTTTTCTATAGGTTCTTTTATTAAAAGTTGTTTTATAAATTCTTTTATTAATGTTTTAGTTAATTTTCTTATTAATTTTCTTATTAATTGTTTGTATGTTTTACTATGTGTTTTACTATGTGTTTGAAGTATTAGAAGGAAGGCAAAAGGCTTTACTAGCGGTTGTTCGGGAAGTCGGCGGTTGTTCGGGAAGTCGGCGCTTGTTCGGGAAGTCGGCGCTTGTTCGGAGATACCGGCGCTAGCTCCGAAAGTCTCCACCTTGTAGAATCCAGCCAATTAGGTTGCGGGATTTCCAAAATCCGGGGTTGGCTTGGCGGTTACGCGTAATAGGATAGGGGATTGGCGACTATAGCAGAGCTTGTTATATAAGGCGAGCTTCGCTCGCAACTAGATAGCGGTAGTAGAGGATTGTTAGGAGGATTACCGGATAGATTGCTAGAAGGATTACTAGGCGGATTACTAGGCGGATCGCCTAGTATAAACCCGCCTCGACGTAAGTAGCTATACTTACGAGTATTTATATATATATCTACCCTCTACTAGTAATTATATTAACCTAGGTTCGGCTAGGGCGGACTTAGCTTATATGTAGCCGATAGCGGTAAAATCGCCTATTTTATTAGAAAGTCTAATACGACTTCGTTAAGATAGACTCCTCTCTATCTAGCTAATTTATAAAGATAATTACGACGCTAACGGTTTTATTATATAGCGATATTTGCCCTATCGATCTCCTCGGTTATCTACGAGATATCTACCGGAGTACGATATTAGAAACAACTACGCGGCTTGTTAGCCTACGGGTCGGCGAGGCCGTCGTTTATTAGAGGCAATTAGCCGCGACCGATGTCCTAGAATAGCGACATCGACAGATCGGAAGGCTCGGTTAACAGTTCCTTAGAGGAAGTCTTAGGTAGAGGCCCCCTTAGCTTCTAAGGATTCTCGTCCGCTAGGTATTGTAGCTTAAGTAGCCTTTATAAGAAAACCGATTTAAGCGAGCTATTAGGCGAACCGAGACGCTATTCCGGCGGCACGGTTATTTCTACTATAGTAATAGGCGAAACCGTAGGCCGCGGTAGAACTTAAGCTAGTCGGGCTAGTAGGCGCTGCTCTACTATAGGTAGTAGATAGATATCTAGGTAGGATTAATAGTAATAGCGTAAATCGCGTACCGTTAGGAGCGCGGCTTTAAGCTTCTTAACCGATTTAGTTAGAATTCCTTTATCTACTACCTACTATCCTAGGAAGTTGTAACTATTAAGGGCGTTTAAGTAGAGTTCCTCGATTTTAGCCTATAAAGGCGGCGGATTTCCTACGAGCGGATAATAGTATAGAACGTATAAGGTAAGCAAGTCGATTCGGCCGTACTTTGCCCTAAGCTAGGTTACGAAGTTCTCGCTATAATCGACGTAGTTCTAAATATAGGAACAGATACGTAGGATATAGGGCTCTATATCTAGCAATCCGAGATTATAGTACTAGGGCAGCGGTTAAACCGCTAGCTTAGCTAATTTCGAGGCTTTTACTAGAGTTAGAAGCGAGTCCGAAGGAGCTACGGCAAGTAGGTAAACTATTAGTAAGAGGGTAGAGGCGAGATAGTCTCTAGATAGAGGATAATAACGGAGAACCGACTAAAGGCGGAGGAGCGTAGCTTATCGGGGCAGGTCCTCCTAGGGAAAGCGGCTACCCCTAGACCTAGGTATAGTAGGCAATTGCTACTAAAGGTAGAAACTACTACTACTATCTCCTCGGGGTACTAATAGGATCGCTAATAAGGCGCTCGCGCGTCGGTAGGGTATAGTATAGAAGGGTAGTAAATCGAATAGGTACTATCGTAATAAGTAGGAGTTAAATCGTAGTAATCGGCGGAAGATCGGTAGGACCTATAGCTAATCGCGTTAATTCTCGTCGTAGCCGTAATAACTAGGGTTAATTCGGGTAGAGGACTAGTAGTTAGTATAGAAGCTAACTAAGTATTAAGCGAAGCTACTAAGTTACTAGGTATACGGTTATAGTACGAAGGTATTATAACGGTTATATAGTATAAAAGTTAATATATTCTCTAAGGTACCGCGAGGCAAGCTATCTATATAATAGTCCTACTATTAGTAGCAATAGCGACCGTAGCGGTTAATAGTAACCGCTGCCTACTATCGTATATATAATAGTATTATATTATAATAGTTGCTACCTATACTATCTTCTTATAGTCGACTTCTTTCTATTTCTTCCTATCCTTAAACGCTATCTAATCCTTTATTACTATACTTATATTAGTCTCGTTCTTAGTACTAGTCTTAGATAGATTAGCGAAGTAGATACGCTACTATATCTCGTAGGTCTTTATTATACAGTCGAGACTATTATAAATAGGTCCGCTATTCGACTAGAAGAGAGCTATTATAACGTTCTAGAAGCCGTCTCTAAATTAATGCTAATTGTCGTTATAGGTACGTACTAATAGTAATAACGCCTCGTCGTCTAATCCGCCTCTTCTACTAGTATATAGTATTAGTACTAGAAGTCTACTATTCGCTATATTACGGCTGTCTCTACCTATATCTCTAGTTACTATTCTACCCTCTTTTTTAAGTATAGCGATAGTAGTCTTCCGCCGCTAAGAAGCGCTTTTCTTTTTTAATCGACTAGCTACTTAACTCGCTATATCGCTAAGCGTAGGTATCTTACTCGGTACTAGCGTACGTAGTTATAGAGTGTCCGAAGATACCGATAGATACTCGATCGATAGCTTCGCTACTATCTCTTTTTATATCTTAAACTAAGCCGCTCTCGCTATAGCGGCTCTTTAAGCGGTAGTAATATTAGACCGCTATACTAGTACGCCCGTTTACTAGCGTCTTACGCTACGACAAAAGATCGGAAGTATCCGCGCTTAATAAGCATAGATCTCGGGCGCACTTATAGGCTAGAAGTTACGTAAGTCTTAGCGCCAAGCCTTAGCCTATACCTCTAGACTCTAATACGCGCTTCCCTTTTCTTAGCTACGGCCCCTATAGCTTATAACGTTATACCCCGCATCCGAACATATAGCTAGGTAACGCCTTAGTATACCCTATACTCGAGGTAGCTAATTAAACAACTATCGCAATCTAAACTTATATACGACGGTATAGCGACGTTTTTTTAACTGCTTATAAGTCGACCCCTCTAAGGTAGGTACGCCTATAGTAGAGTCGCGCGCCTAAGGCAATTAGGCGCCTCCGAAGCCGCGTCTACCGAGGATTAGCCTAGTTAGCTAATAAGCGTACGCCGACTTGCTAAGAATCGAACGTACGACTATTAAACCTATAGACCGTTAAGCGCGGATACTATATTAGACCGCTATACTAGTACGCCCGTTTACTAGCGTCTTATGCTATAATAAAAGATCGGAAGTATCCGCGCTTAATAAGCACAGATCTCGGGCGCACTTATAGGCTAGAAGTTACGTAAGTCTTAGCGCTAAGCCTTAGCCTATACCTCTAGACTCTAATAAGTAATATTATTAGTATAGTTAATAGCTACTTATTATACTTTAACTTTAGTACGACTCTATACGAGATAAGGCATTAATAGCTAGCGAGTTGTTACGATAGAAGTCGCTCGGTACTATAGAGGGCTCTCGAGAGGCTATTACTAGAGCTAGAGTTATACTAGCGCAAATAGTAGAATCTAAATAGAACGTTATCTAAGATATTATACTTTAATTTGTTAAGGAATGCTAACAAAGTAAAGCAGTTCTAGCAGTACGCGATTCTATACGAGTTCTACGTGTTATAGGTACGAGATATAGTCTCTACTAAGCGGCCTCTTCCGCTTTATCTAACTATTCTCGATACTTAGCATCTAAATAAGGGTATAAGACCTACCTATAGAGGCCGCTCTACAACCGGAGCGGCCTCTACAGGTCCGCTTTGACCATTGCCTAATAGAGCCGCCAAGAGTGTCCGGATCCAGTATGTCCGAAGGTGTTGGTATAGGCGTAACAAGTGGCTAAAACGCTCTAATAAATTCCGAGATGCACTTTCCACAATGGGATTCTCTTCCTTGCTCCAAACGAGAAGCGCGCTCAGCATCCATACGTCAGGCTGCCTTTTCTGGAGCAGCTTCCCACGACTGAATACTTGTCCAGCTCTCAAAGGTCATCCAGGGATGGTACAACATAGTTGCTGTCCCATGTGACCCACTCTCCGTCTTCTTCTCTGTATCGAAACCTCGCGCCCCGCTCCAGGCTCTTTGCCAGATCAGCTTTCTTCGCAACGACTCGTATCTCTTTCAACTTCGGAAAGGCTGACATGATCTAGATGGAGCGGTCAGCAAATAGGTAGCAGCCGCTGCGCTTTCTACCTCAGTCATCTTACCATCTGCCTGGATGCACGAAGCGGAAGCACATCGAAGAGCCAAAATCGCCGGGGCCAGCTCGGATGCTTGGCCAATTGCCCAACAACCGCGATTGTGTCGATGTTACCTAGGAGCAAAATGACAATATCAGCGATTGCCCTATATGTGAAGTCGTTCTAGGCAGCGCAGCTACGAAGGAGCCTGGAGCGTGGCCTGTCTGTATGCAACTTGCTTTGCGTTGGGAATCGTACTCGACTTACACAATCTCTTCAGGAGCACACCATAGATGGCGCCCAGCCTCGTTCGCAATTCCGCAACCCATGTGGCCGACTGAGAGATGCTAAGACCCTGGAACGGGTTGACGGAGTAGGAGTAGTACAGCCGCAGAAGAGAAAGTGAGAGAGCGTCGGTGTCGAGCTGATACACAAATGGAAGAATGTTTCCACGCGACTCGAGCATCCGATTAACCCGGCGCATCGATTTTCGTGGATACAGATTCTTGCCCATGTAGTCAGGCAACTTGAGGCGCGCGTGCACCTCGCCGTACACAAATTCGAAAGCTTCGAAGCGAATTTGACGACATGTGAGCAGAAGCGCGACTCGCGTCCTCTTGCGCTTGAAATGGCGTTGACGCGCATTCAAGCGAATGAACGATGTGTCGACGACATCTGCAAAGACATGAGAGTATATGATATTTCGTATTTCGCCCGGGAGGGCGAGGAGATGATGTGGCATAGCTGTTTGTTGCGTATGGTAGCGGAGAGAAGATGGCGAAAGGTTTTAAAGTCCAAAATGCAAGGCGGGTGGCAAGATCGGTGGAGGGCTCGAAGTGAATGCCGAGAGCGTTCACTAGACTTTCCTCACTTTCTGTTGATCGTCGAAGGCACCCCGGGTCGCGCAAACATTTGTTGCACATTGGGCATACACCCACGATGGCGTCGCAATCTCTGCAACAAGCATGATCGGAAGCCACGACAAGTCATTCGGTACTCCGTCTGGCTTGGATTTGCTTTACTATATCCATACATACGGACCTATCAAAGAGAAACGCGCAAGGTCAGCCAGGGAAAGACTTGAAGGGCCCAACCAAGATTGCTCGCGAACATCACAAAACGTCTTGCAAGGGAAACTTGACGCATTAAGAATCTCCGGTTCCGCGGGGACGAAGCTCACCTAGGAAATATGAGAGAAATTCACCTAGGCCGTAAGCCTTTGAAGCTCACTCGAAGTGAAGCTCACTCGAAGATGGAATATCGTCTTCTCATTTGCAATCGTTCTCTTCAACTCAGCTTCAACGTACAGTGTGGAAGTAACCAGCAGCGGCCCCAGCGAAATGCCTCCAACGCAATTGCAGCGAGTCACTGCAGAATTGCACAAGGCAAAGAATGAGGTGACCATCTTGAAGCGTAGACATGGTCTGCGTAGACCGCTCTCTGCAGCAGCAACGTAAGCCGACCCAGCAAGCTCTCAAATTGCAGCACTGATAGCTACTATAGTATCGGAAACCATATTTTGGTGTTGTTCGTCGGGCCAGCAGATCACCTCCTAATAATCCACACACACCTTCTACCAAAGGCAACACTCGACTTACTTGCTACACTCACTTAACCCGGATCCTTCGCGTATCTGCCAGACGAGAGCGTAGAGCTGATGATCCTACACCGAGCCTATCTTTACACGGGCAAGATCTTCAGTCAATACGGCGAAGACGATGTGGACGTGCCCGATGATGGCGAAACAGAAGCACATGATGACCGAGAATGGATTCGCCTTGCTGACCTCTACTGGATGGCCACCGAGCTTCGGGATGAGGTGTTCGGAAACAATGTCAGTTGCATGGAGCTGTAAAGAAGACATGTGCAGATTTCGTGTGCAGATATGTGGAATTGTTTGACTCTTCATGCCCACAAGCCTGATGGGAGGTAGATCTTGTGTTCAAGTCAAGTGTTGTCTGCTGACGCCGGCGCGTCAGTCTGCAGGGGAGCTTCAAGGCACTAGACTCGTAGATATAATAGGAATGGAAGCAAAGGAAGCGGGAGTTCTTGGACTTTCCCCCTTGTTCAACACAATCTACCCAGATGCAAAATTAGGGCTACTCTACGCGTGTATACAGACGACGTTTCCGAGTGGAAGCGCCCGGCCGTAGAGGAGGATTTCGCGTGCAGGATGATCCTGGCCACCTTTGGAGGCCCAGCGCTTACTATGTGTCGCTTCCAACTTGTCAGTACGGTCCGCAGAGCCGCCTCCTCTGCTGAGCCGCACAGGGGTGGGCAATAGGGGCACTTTTACGTGGTTTTTATCGTGTTTCTTCCCAATTGTCGTCGTCGAATAGAGGATAATCGTGTGTTTGAGCCTCGTACGCGTATTTCTATTAGTTTCTAAGCCTTCTACCGCAATAATAGCGCTAAGATCGATACGTACGACTACTAGCGTATTACTAGTATAATTAGACGATTAAATAAATGTCTCTACGCTAAAGAAGAAGGTAATCTATACGCTCGAGAAGCCTATTAGTCCGCCGCTAATAAGCTAGAGTACTAACTCGATAAAGGATAGTACGAAGAATAGGTCTTCTAGCGGCAAGAAGGGTAAAGCGACTACCGACCTAATTATTAATCCCTCGGGTCTACCGAATAAGGAGACCGTAGCGGCGCCGGTAGAGGAGACTAGCGGTATAGAACTACTAAAATCGGCTATTGCTTCCTCCGCTACGACCTCTATATCCTCCTCTTTTAATACTACGTAGGAGGCGGCTACTACTACTAGTAGCCTAGCTGCCCTCGCTATAGGCAACGTTCCTATTACTTAACCTAGCTCTTTCTCGGACGAGACCTTCTATTATAAAGGACAGTAGACGCTGTTTAATATAACGAAGAAGGGCGCGGCGCGGACGATAGTAACGAAGCCGGTAAAGTTCTTATCGGCGAATAAATAAGAGGCTTAGAACGCATATTCGTAGGTAGCGAAGATAGCGAAGTTAAACGGCTTAGCGGCAATTAATTGTATTGTTATCCGTGCTAGAGCGGACGGTTAGAAAACGGCTTTTACTAGCGATTAGCATTAAGCTAGAGATAATATTAATAGCGATAAGGTCTATAGCGAAGCTATAGAGACTAGCAAAGAATTAGCGCTTGCCTCGCGGAAGAATATCTTTATTAATATCGACTTCTTATCGAAGCCTAAAGCGACAGTAGTAGCTAGACCTTTAGGCACTAAGAAGTTAGTATAAGAAGGGTATGTTAGTAGGTAGATAGGGTAGTAGTAGGTACGAGTAGTATTCGATAAGGAGCTAGGAGGAGAGGGAGGAAGGCAGGCAAGTTAGCCTATTACTAAGCGCTAAGCCCTGCCTAAGGCATTACGACCCTAGCTTTACTCGAGCCCGGTTATATACTAATTACATATAACCTCTTTAGTCCTAATATACGCTTCCCTTTTAAAGGCCGCGCCCTCGTAGCTAGTCTTTGTTCTAGTCTTAACCCCCGTTGCTACTAACTTAGTAGGTCTAATAGGCCGCTTAGTCCGCGCTAAATTAAACGTACAACTACCGATTATATAACTATGTTAAACCTTACCTCTAATATAGTACAATGTCTAACTCTAACTACGCTATCCTTATATATAATAAAGTAATATATAACTATAAGAATTAAGGACTATCGACTAATTATAATACGAGCGTACCTTCCTTACTATAATAGGTAGGTATACGGGATATTGTAGCACTGCCCCTGTTCTGCGTAATGTCGTACTAAGTTCTTTGCGTCTACTCTAAAAGACCTAGCTATATCCGCTTCCGAGGGTTGTCCGCTTCTAAGGGTTTGTTCTTATTATTATAAGGGCTATTATTGTTCGTAGTTTCGCTAGCCCTAATTAGTTAGGTTTAGTAGCCTTTAATTGTTAATCTTATCTTATCTTTTCCGAAAAAACACAGCTCGTCTAGTTTCTATAAGTAAAGGCTATTGTAAGTATAGTAGTAGAGGTTCGCCTCGCTTAAAGGGTCGGAAAGATCGAGGAGTAATCTATTGTCCGCAAGATCGACCCTAGCTAGCTTAGCTCTATAGTTTTTACCCTTAGTTAGTCTATTAGTCGCTTAATCCTTTAACTTAGTTAAAGTTTTAACTTAGCCTTAAAGTTTTGATTAAACCTTTAATAGGCTTAAAGCTTTTAATTAAAGTTTTAATTAAAGGTACCTTAGGCTCGTAGTATAGGTAAGGTTGTATCTATAGGCGTAGCGATAATAGCAAGTAATGTTAACAATAGTAGCGCTAGTCGCCTTAGCGCTAACTTTACCTTCTTCCAATTTCCTTCTTTAACTAATAACAACTCGGTAATACCGTTACTAATATAGCCGCGCCGGCCGCGCCGTCCTTGCCGATCGCCTAGGTCTCGAGGCCCCGATAGAATAAAGGAATAAGAGGGGGACCTATAGGGCGCGTTAGTAAAGAGGTAGAGTCCTTAAAAGAGTATACGATTAATTAATTAACGCGTCGTAGCGCGCCTAGTATAGTCTTATTGTCCTTTGTTGCTAACACTTGCTTATCTCTAATTAGTTAGCTAATAGTACCCTAGGGGTAGTATTGTTCCTAGGCGATATTATAGGCCCTTAGCCTTCTTCTTGTTCTTTATACTAGTCTAATACTTATCTAATAACTTAGTTATATCTTTAAAAGAGGCTTTAGCCTCCTACGAGTCCTATTTAGGTAAATAGCCTTGCTATCTTAATAGGTACTCCTTCTTGCCTTTCCTAGTCCGATACTATAGGATACGTTCTATAGACTACAGCTCTTCGCTATTAGCTAGTATATCCTCGGATTCGGTAGGTGCTTTATCGCCTTCGCGCTAGTAGTATAGTTTAAGGAGGGAGATATAGAAGGTATTATAGATAGTATAATAAGGTAGAAGCTATAACTAGTAGGCCTAGCTATTGCCCTTCGGTTCTCGGATACGAAATAGGCTAATGTATCTTAGTGCGAGCTTGGGCCTTGTTTTACTATTAGGCGATAGGTATTTGCGGATACGGAGGTTCTTAGTGCTAAGTATAACTATATCGCCTTGTTTAAAGGTTATTAGTATATAACGCTTATCGTAGTAGGCCTTTTAGTATTCTTAAGCCTTTATTAACTTCTCAGCTATCTTAGTATAGATTTCTCGTATCTTCTAGATACGTTCTATTACCGCTAGTGTCTCTAGTACTTGACGCGCTTCCCTTTCCTTACGCTCGGCCTCGAGCGAGGTAAATAGATCTTATAGCAACGCGGCGTTTTGACCTATTATAGCTATATATAGTAAAACCTTAGTTAATAAGTATACACTATTATTATATACGAATTCTATAGGCTATAAGAGATTAACCTAATCCTTAGGATTCTCGTTAATATAACTGCGTATGCTAGGCACACGGTTACAGTACGAAGGTATTATAACGGTTGTATAGTGCAAAAGTTAATACATTCTCTAAGATGCCGCGAGGCAAGCTATCTATATAATAGTCCTACTATTAGTAGCAATAGCGACCGTAGCGGTCGATAGTGACCGCTACCTGCTATTGTATATGCAATAGTGTTATATCGTAACAGCCTCCCCCCCTATAAAAAAGGTCGGCACTGTCTATAGTGTCCTAAAACAAAGGTCCTTAGTAGGCCGCACCGTAGGAAGGTTTAAGGCAAAAGAGCGTAATAGCGTCGCATAAAGGCTAAGCCTAAACAGTATACTAGAACAGTAATGCTAGGTACAGAATCGTATCTCTCTAGTAATAACTACGTCGGTTTTATACTTACTTATTGCGACGGTTACGAAGGGCGTCGCGTAAGCTAGTCGGTATAGTCTAAACCGCCTTTAGCTGCGGCTAAGGCGCGACGGTCTTTATAGTCTTATTATCGGATAGCGAGGTATTAACTACGTCCGCTATAGTAGTAGCGCGGTCTAACTAATCGATAGGGATATTAGGGAAGTCGGCACCTAGCAATAGTAGCGTATCGGCGTCGCGTATAGCACCGTATAGCTTAAAGTAGTCGGCTATCTATATATCGAGCTTCGCGATCTTATCCTTAGTAGCATTGCCTTATACGCCGCCGAGCAGCTTAAAAGCGTCCTCGTAGATTAGGTATAGTATAGGGATTGCCTATTACAGCGCGACGCGCAAGAAATCGTAGTAAAGATAGGTTAGCGATAGCGTAAGCGACTCCTTTAAGACCGTAGCGGAAAGACGACACTACTAGGCTATCTAGCGCTTAGTTGCTTCGCGGATCTATGCCTTAGCTAGCATCTATTGCAGCTAGTATACCTCGGTTACTACTAACTCGGATTGGCGTATATAGTAGAGAGCTTATAAGTTAAGCGTACGCATACTAATTGCCGTCGCATTATATTAGTATTATCCGTAGGCGCCTATAGTGTTTTCCTATAGGGCGGGCAAAGGTAGTAAGCGTATCGGAAGCGCTAGGAGCTTGTACTATAGCTACGCAACCGTATTGTTAGGCGGTAGTAGCTAAGCCGTAGCTAGAGCCTTCGTAGGCGTAGAGAATAGGTTAGACGGTAGCGGCATCTTCGACGATAGGCGAGGCGCTAAGAACGGGCTAGCGGTTAGCTTCTAGCGAGTATTTAACTTAGTCGATAGTAATACGCGCGAGGAGTTTAGCTAGACCGCCTTAGTTAGCGGGGCAACGGCCGGAGGTTGCGGCTTAGCCCGAGTCGCGAGCTTAGGAGGGAAGATTTTGCTAAAGAGGTACGCGTTAGTAAGGTCGGTCTCGTCTAGCGAGTAGTCGGGTAACGGTACTAGGAATACGCCTATAGGATCCTAAGTATAGTCGATATTGTACTACTAGTGATTCTTATTCGTTACTATCTTATCGTACTTGAAAATAGTATTGCCCTATATAATACGCTCTTAGACGCCTAAAGGATCGAAGACTAGATCGGTAGCGGCCGTCTACGGTAACTTATAGAACTATAGCGTTAGCGCGGGCTACAATCTATTAGGGATAGCGCCGTCCTTAAGCGTCTAGATATAGGCAATAAAGGTAGATAAGGCGTATACCGGATCGATCTACGTTAGCTAGTAGACTAGGCTAAAGTCTACTAGACACTAACGGTTAAGGAGCAGTAGAGGTATACCTTTACCCTTATTAGCGGCGTAGGTACCGTTCTAGTAGCGACCGCTACCTATAAGCTAAGCGTACTATTCCGTACGCGACGCATTAGTAGCCTTCGTGTCTGTAAGCGCCTTATTTGTATAGAGGGCGGATGTATAGCCCTCGCCGCGGAGCGTATAGGCGTTACGGACCGTAACATACCGCTAGGTATAAGCGACGACGTCCTAGGTAATAGCTAGGCGACCTAGGTTGCGACGGTGTAGGTAGGGCAGACTACTAGAGTTTAGGGAGGACTTATACTACTTATAGAGCTATATCGCCGACTAGGTACTAAGCTCTATACCGATTAGTAGCAGCTAAACGGTGTAGTTCTTAAGCTAGGAGTCTAGTAGAGGTAGGCGCACTATTAAGAGTCGTCCGGTAGCTACTATCTATAAGAATTAGACTTCGCCGTAGGTAGTTAGGTCGATCTTATAATGCTTAGTCGCTCCGACGTATTTACTAATAGGTCGCTTGCCCGTCTTTTAGTATTCCTTACCGTAATCGCGGTAGGAGACATCCTTACCGTTCTCGCTACGCTTATATAGGACCGGGTAACCGCCTACTATAATGCTATCGCGATGTTCTTTTAAGACGAAGCGGTAGAACTACTCTTATACGAGGTCGACCGTCTATAGGAAGTATAAAATAGCGCGTACTACAAGACTAACGGCTCTATTACAGATTAGAGACAGTGCTAGCTAGAATCGTAAGTCGCCGGTATAGGTGCTTAAGCCTAGGAAGTTCTCGCGTAAGTAGGTAATGTTTACTAGGAGTCGGTACTATAACTTCGCGTAGTAGAAAGTAATAGTTAGTAGAAAATTCGTATCGAGGTTAGCTAGGTTAGGAAGCTCCTTTAATTCGCCCGCCGTTATAAGCGCTACGTACTCGCTAAAGCGTATCGCGTAAATCTCCTACTACGTATCGTAACCGTCCGAGTAGAGGTCGGTCCTAAAGATAGAGTATTTACGGGCGAGATCGTCGTTTACGATTTAGAAGGAGCACGGTTACGTAAAGAGTAGGTTTTTAAAATCGGTAACTAGCTTGCCTATATACTAATGTAATTCGCGTAGAATCTAGAAGCGCCGATCGCTAGCTATAAGGTACAGATAATATAGGTAATACTAAAGCCTTACTAAATAGTGTTCGACTATTCGCTTATATAGGCGTAGGCGAAAAAGATTAGGCAGCCGACCGTTAGCGTCCTTAGCGTACGCGTTACGTATAAGCTTCGCGGCCTAGATAAAGCGTACGTCTCTATTCTTATTACGCTCTATAGGATTAGCGGCGATTAGCGTATCGACTTTCTTATTATAGTCCTCGTACTCTACGTACTACCGGATTGCAGCTTGCTCGGGCGTCTCGTTAGCGCGAAGGAGACGCTTATTAATCAAAGTCTAGCGCGCGCGCTAGCCTCGAAGCCGCTACCGCTCGAACTTGAGTTCTTTAGGGGATAGGACCGGAGGTTCCTTAAAAACCGACTCGATCGGAGTAGCTAGGAGCTTAGGAGGAGCTAGTACGGGCGCTTATAGCGAGCCGTTACTCGGCGCCTACGTTAGGGAGGCGAGTGCCTATAGTAGTAGTAAATTAGGAAGTATACGCGCTAGCGGAGATAGTAGTTCTAGTAAAGCCGGTCGATTTGCGGGTATTATTAACGGTAGTGCCGATTCTAAAGCCGAAGGCGCATTAAGAGGCTACGCGCTAACGGGATTAATCGGGCCGCTTTCCGTACCGTTAGCCGGGCTACTAGACGCGTAGGTAGCGGCGTCTCGGTAAAGGGCAAAGAAGCCCGGTACGATGTCCTATAGCTTCTCGGCCTCTAGGATCTCGACCTATAACGCTTTGCCCTTCTAAACAAACTCCTATTTACCTAAATAGTACGGCGGAGGGTCGTCGTTATCGATAAAGTAGTCGGCTATAGCTTTGTAGAGCGCTCGGCCCGTCTATCGGCCCTCGCCTAGCAACGCCTTCGCTAGCTCCGCTAACTATTTCTTCTTCGTAGTAAGCGCCGTAACCGCCTATATAAACGACTTCCTATCGAAAACGTAATCTAGATTAACTGCCGCGATAACCGCCGGTACGTAATATTTTAGAAAGGAAAATCGTCTAATATTAGAGAGCGGATAGTCTAGATTCGGAAGCACTATCGATAGGCTAGCAATAGTCTAACGCTATATAGTACTAAACTCGCTACCCGGCGTCCCCTACGATTACGGGCGAGCTATTACCTCGAGTAAGTCGAAATCGGATCCGTCTATATTATTAGCCGGGGGCAACGGTACTAAGCTCGCTATTAGCGTATCGTTAATGCGACTACGGCCTAAGAACAACGGTACGTGTCGCTATAACAGTTATCGGCCGGAGTCCGTTAATGCGTAGTGCAATTCTATATCTAATCCGTCCTCGGTAAATATTAGGAAAGGCCGTATATATCTATTCTTAGTAGCGTAGCTTAATACCGCCTAAACCTCGCCAGTACTTAAACTGCCGTTAGTAGAAATAAGCGATAGCGCCTTGCGAAAGGTCTATCGAAGATTGCCTTCCGCCGTAGCGAGGATCGCAAAGCCCTCTAACGTCTATACTAGGTTAATACTATGTTCCTCTAGACGCGTTTGTTACGGGTTAAGCGTAGCGTTATCTATCTCTCTACGATGCTCGCCGATCTAATCCGCTATTACGTCTTCTCTACCTACCGAATCCTTTGTCGAGTTCTCTATATCCTCTAGCTTAGGCGTAGCTATACGTATCTCGACCGTAGCGCTAGGCGCTATATCCTTTCCGTTCGTTATATTCTTAAGCTTAGCCGCGAGCGTAGGAATCTCGATCGGGGTATTTAAGGCTATATTCTCTCTACTCGTTACGGCCCTAGGCTCCGGCGCGGCTATACGATTCTCGACCGTTTCGTCTAATACCGTATCCTCCTTGTCCGTTATATTCTCTAGCTCCGGCGCGGCCGTACGACTCTCGACCGTAGTGTCTAATACTGTATTCGCCTCGTCCGTTAGGCCCTCTAGCTTAGGCGCGGCCGTGTAATTCTTAACCGTAGTATCTAATACTATATTCTTATTGCTTGCCTTACTCTCTAGCTTAGGCGTAGGCGTCGAGCTAGTAACAAACAAGGACTGTCCGGCCGATCCTAAACCGTTAGATAGTAGCGGTTCCCTACGAGGAGCGTTAATCTTACTGTTCCCTATCGCGGTGTCCTAAGGGTCTCGATCCTCGCTTCTACGATGTTCCTTAGCTATCGCTCCTTAGAGAAGGTCGAGCGTATCGGCCTTACGGTATAGGCGAGACGCGCGCTATAACTCCGCCTCGAACGATATAACGTTTAGGCGCTTATATCGCGATCGGTACTATAGAAATTTTTACTAAAAAGCTACTACTTTACGTTCCCCGCGACGGACGCGGTTATCGCGCTCGAGTGCCGTTTATAATCGTCGTCGGTAATTAATAGAAAGCTCTCGTATCGTAGGATACCGGAAAGATCGATACTAAATAAGGGATAGCCCGCGCCTACGTATAACGGTTGCCTAAGTAACGTAGTTACGATAACGATATAAGGGCACGCCTAGGCGGGTTACGACTCCGAAGGAGGAGTCGCGCCGCGGAGCTATATCGATTTACGTCGAACCGCGAGGGATTGTCCGGCCTCGCCTTTATCGGCGGGGCTAGCAACCTCTAAAAAAGGCTAGCGCGCTCTCGTCCGCTTTACTACCCTATAGAGGGTATAGGACGGCGGGGCCTCCTCGAGAGAATAGGCGTTATCGTAGATTTTACGTAAATCGTTCGCGCCCGTTAAGTCGTCGGTATTATACTATATATTATAGGCGCTCCTATACCCTTTCTACTTTACTAGGTATTAGAGAACGGGCTAGCCTCTTCGGACGACGGTCCGTCGCCCGAGAAAGCGCTCGATTTCGTAAGAGTCGCCCTCGTCGCTAGAACCTAGACCGTCCTTAGCTACGACGGGCGGGGGCTTGTAATTAACAGTTCTCTTAAAAGGGTCTAGGTCTTTAGGAGCTTTTTCTAATTACAAAACCGATATTACCGGATAGATACGCATTAATAGCGGCAACTCGAGACGGTAGGCTAGTCGTCCGACCTTCTCGAGAACCGTAAAAGGCCCTTTAAAACAGTAGCTAAACTTGTACGACTAACCTAGCACTTCGTAACTATAGTATAGGCGAAGTATAATACGGTTACCTAGCTTAAGGAATAGGGGCTTATACTTACTGTTATACTGTTCTTTTATTTTTACGTTCGCCTAAGTAATCGCGTCCTAGACTTCCTTCTAGATACGGCTACGCGCTGCCGCCCTATTATACGGATAGTCGTATAGTGTATCGAGCGAGTCGAGATTCGTCCTTACGCCCGTAGTAACCTCGTTCGGCGACTAACCGGTAGTCGTATTACGGGAGTTATTAAGCGTAGCCTATAGCTATAGGATAAACGTCGTCTAATCCTCGCTAGGATAATCCGCTAACTAGTAACGAATCGCCGTCTCGACCGTTTAGTTAGTTCGCTCGGATTGACTATCGGTTTAAGGGTAGTAGGCCGTAGACGTAGCTAGCTTCGTACGTAGGCGCGAGAAAACGCCCTTAAAGAAGTCGCTTAGCTAGCGAGGATTACGATTAGCGATAAGTACTACCGGTATACTTATATCTATTAAGTAAAGCCTATCGATTAGAGCGATGCCCTAGTCGTAGGCCTTCTAGTCCTCTTTGCCTAGGACGACCGCTACCCGCTTAGACGTCTTATAAGTAATCGTATATAGTGCATTAAATCTATTAGTCGTAACCGGTAAGGCGGTTACGAGATCTATCGTTATAGTATAGTACAGGCCCTCCGCATTCTAGATCGGGTAAAGTTCGCCGTAAGGAGCGTATCGGGGGATACGTAAAAGGAGACACTAGTAATAATAATCTAAATAGAGGCGGAGGTAGCGAGCGAGTCGATATATAAAGAAGGAAGCTTAAATACGGTCGAAGACGCGCTAAAAGCCTTAGTAGCAACGGTTATCGTAAGCCTGCTCGAAGATCTCGCCTATTAAGGCTCGAGGGATATAGAGTCGCTCGCGCCCTAAAGATTAGTTACGGAAATACAAGAGGCCGTCCCTCTCGAAGAATCGAATGCCTAGCGGACTATTAAACTTATTACCTACGAATAGGTCCGGATTTTTGCTACCCTTATACCGAACTAGCGTTTTCGTTACCGAAGGCATATTAGCTCCCTCCGAATAAAGACGCTCTAAAGCATTCCGCGCCTACGCTTATCGAACTAGTCGTAAAACCCTAGACTAATGTTCGTCGTTATCGTACGCTCGGTTTAACCGACGTCGGAAATCCGGATCTAGCTCTACTAATATCGTATAGAAGTAGGCTACTTCCTCTAGATCGGCCGAAGAGGGCGTAGCGTCGGCATAGTAAGAGAGCGGGTCTAAGTTCTCCTCGTCCGGCGTTAGCTTAGGCGACTCCGTATCCCCTAGAAGTCGACTAAGGGCGTCTAGAACTAGGTATATCCGCCCTAGACGGTAAACTATATCGACTCGATATTAGGAAAGGAATATCGATGCCCTTACTAATTTTAGGTTCTACTTACCTATATCGGTAGTCGTAGTTATCGATACCGAGTTAGTAAGACCGACCGCGGTATAGTAGTCTATAAAGATAGTCGTCGGCCTCGATAAAGCATATATTAAATAGCCTACCTTCTTTACTATCTATACGATTCCCGAGTATTCGAGCTCTGTCGGCTAATATCGTATCTCCGCCTAAGTTAGGCCTCGGCTTAAGAACAAAATAGGCTAAACCTTATAATAAGGAAACAACTGCGCCTTTCCCTTAGATAGAATAGGGTCTAGGTCCCTATCGATATAGTAGAGCACCGCGCTATAGCTAAACTCTTTAAAGGAATCTATATTAGCGTATAAGCGACGGTTAGGGTCGAAATGGTATAGGAAGGAGGGCTCGTAGAACATCGATTGCAATAAGCGAAACGCTTTTACTAGCTCGTCGCGGTGCTAATCGTTCTTACCTAGCGTCGTAACGGCAACGTACCGACGACGACTATTGCCGGTAACTAGCGCCCCTTTTAATAAGCGTATCTTCTTTACCTATAGAGGCGCCGCTATCTGTACGTAGTATAGGATATATTACCGCAACTAATTGGTTAGACCGAGATAATACTCTAGCTTCTATACGTTCTCCGAGAACTAAAGTAAGGTAATCGCTGCGATTTTCTCTTTACTCGTAGCTAGACCGAGGCCGCTAACGTGCTAACCTAAAAGGGTCGTAGAGGGGAAGCCTAAGAAAGTCTTCTTCGGACTAATGCTAATCCTTATAGCGTCTAACCTCTAGAAGACCGCTTCTAGATAATCGAGATGCTTAGGCAACGTCTTCGAAAATACTACGATATCGTCGATATAAGCTCGCGTAAAGCTACGACAGTCGCGAAGGATCTAATCTAGCTTCCGCTATACGAATTAGACACTGTTCGAATACCCTATAATAGCGACCTTATACTATTCCTAGCTACGATAAGTATTAATCGTTAATTTGTAACGATCCTCCGGCTTTACGCCCTATTAGTAGAAGAAGGTTAGACAGTCTATAGTGCTAATATACTAGCACCCTACTAACTGTATAAAGAGATCCGCCTAGAGCGGTATCTAATAGCTATCGGGGATCGTTACCTTATTTAAGGCGCGTATATCGACTACCGCCCGCGGCTTATTAATTATGCTACCTTTACTGTTAGCAACGCGCTTCTATACGACAAACACTAGAAAGCCGAAGGGCGTAGGCTCGGTTGTATACTACATCTTCCTCTAGCGGTATAGGTCGTTATATATCTTATCTACTACTTTACGATCCCTCTTGCCTAGGTTAATTATATAGGGGGGCGGCAACAGATCTAGGTAATTTAGTACGGTTAGGATAGGTATATAATCGTACTCGGGAATATCGACTACCGTTTAGCGATCCGTAAAAAGCTCTAGGTACCGCTCGACCGCTATAGCGATTTAGTCTACCTAGTTATCGTTACCGTAGATCGTTACGCCTAACGCATACTAGTATTCCCGCTATATATTTAGCATATCCCGCGTAGCCGTAAAAGCGTTAGGACTTAATCCCGCTAGTCTGTAGTCGGCTACGTCGATATAGTAGGCCCTAGCAATAGTCCTATTACTTAATAAACCGAGTAGCTGTCCGGCTCGAATCGTTACTAGAGTCGTCGCATCGTTACGAATGTATATATAAGAAAAATTAGCGTCTACGACCTAATTATACGCCGTTACTAACGGCGGAGCTTGTAACGACAATCCCTATACATTACTAGTTAGCTAGACTAAGAAACCGGCGTTAAGAATGAAATCCCGGCCCTTAGGGAGGTCGCCGCCGTACTTAACTAGAGCGAGGGCGACCGTACGCGGCGCTAATATTACGTCCTCCGCTAGCTTTACGGGGCGCTAGACCGACTTCCCTTTCTTGCGCTTAACGGCTACTTTAAAGCAGGCGTTGTCCTAACTAGCTACGGTAACCGTCCGTACGGGAATATCGATCTTTATTCCCTCTAGGGCAATCGTATCTATACCGACTAGGATTTTTGCCTTTAGTTTAGGAACTAGGTAAACCTCGCGAGTTATTCGTACTAGGGAGACTATACCGTCCGTCTTCGCTACTAGGACAAACATGTCTAATATAACGTATTCCCCGGAGCGATGCGCGCCGGCAATGCCGCCGATTTCGATCGGTTCGCATAGCTTACGTATCTCTACGTCCGGGCAATAGCTTAAAACGAAGTCTCTTTCCGTAATAGTAAGTATATAGCCGGTATCTAGGTAGACCTATATAGACGCACTAGATAGTAACAACCGAAGAGGGAAAGTTATATATTGCTAATTCCGGAATGCGTAACCTTACTAAGCTAACGGAGGCGCCTTCGACTAAATTACTTCCGGGTTTGCCGATATGCGTTCGATAATAGTAGAAGGCGTCGTCGCCCCTATATACTCCTTGCGAATATGCTAGTATAGAAGGTTGCCTAACTTAAATCGCCGCCTATAGACCTTGCAAGCGTGCTTTATAGAGGCAAATAGTTAGATCGCCGCTAATAGGGACGCTTTAGCCTATAGCACCGAGTTTAACGCTAATAGCGAGCGATCGCCTATGCCTGCAAAGTAAGCTCCTAAGCCTAGATCGGAGTCGTATAGGTCGGTAAAGTAGTCGGCGTCTTCTCCGGCGTTACTAAAATAGCTATAATTATCTGCGTCGGTTTTCCTATTATCCTCCTAACTATCCTCCCGATAGCCGTCGTCGGCTTAGTTAGTATTATTTACGATATCGCCTACTCTCTTACTATTATCGGCAAAGTTAGCCTACTTACGAGCTCGATCGTTACGCTTTCTATCCTATCGATTAAATAGGCGCGAATCGACTCGCTTTAGGTCTTTCGGGAGGAAGGTAGGGCTGCTACCCTTCGACGGTCCTTTACTATTTCCTGCCGGCGGCAGGCGATTCTACTAAGGGGCGCTAGGCAGGCGATTCTGCTAATAGGCGTTAGTAAGGCGTAGCGGGTTCGGTCGGTCGGCATCGCGGTTCTAGTAGTTAAGGGACGCTCTTACCGGAGCGAAGCTCGCTAGGGTATAAGAGGCATTCCCTTCGTATTAGTTCTACTAGGTAGCCTTACTAACGCGGCTAATGTTCCTAGTCGTAGCGTCTAGGCGACGATTAGACGAGGACGAAAGTATATATTCCTAGATTAATACCTACTTCTCGTAGTACGTAACCTACTTATCGACCTTTATACGACAATTTAGCTCGTCTATATTTAATTAGAGGCGCGGATCTATTCGACGATAAGCTTCTAAGAGCCGGTTCGATTTCCGTATACCGGTATCCTTAGTAAGTCGCACCGTCTTAATAATAAAGTCCGTTACTAAACGCCCTAAAGCGATATCCTACTAGTCGTAGCGTTGCTTATCGAGGAGATCTATCGCCTTTATCGGAGGGACCTTCTATTTCTTGCTAAGACAACGTTCCTAGCGTATTAGACCGTATCCGCCGTAGAGCTTTGCTCGGTTACGGCTAGAAAGGTAACTATAATACTAACTAAGCGCTACCCCTCGAAAGCAAAGGGAGAGGTTAAAACGAACTGTCTCTCGCCCTACGATATAAGTATAATCCTTAGCCGCTTCGATAAAAGTATATACCGAACGGTATATTATCTTGTTCCCGACTAAGGCGTAGTCTCCCTCGCTATAATCCGTAACGCTAAGTAGAGGATCGAAGAACCTAAGATACGCTAGGTCGAACCGTAGCCGCTAGAGGCAGGCGTAGTGCCCCTAGATATAACTCGCTTTAGAAACTAGCGCTTCCGCGACGTAGTCCCGATAATACTAACGGTGTCTGCGACGGCGGGCGTGTCTATAATAACTACTATCTAAGGAACTATCGTTATCCGACGAGGATTAATTAGAGTCGTCCGAATCCTTACTATTAGATAAAGATCTATCCTTACTCGGATTATCCCTATACTAACGGTGTTTCCGGCGTTGCTTCTTACCTTCCCGTAGTAGACCCTACAAGTCTAATAGCGGAAAGGGCAAAGGCTAACCCTACGTCGGCTTACGAGAGAAATTACCCGGATCGAAGTCGCTAAGTAGCGGTAGTAGAGGATCGTTAGGAGGATTTCCGGGTAGATTGCTAGGAGGATTACTAGGCGGATTGCTAGGCGGATCGCCTAGCGCAAACCCGCCCCGCCGTAAGCGGCTATACCTACGGGCATTTATATATACGTCTACCCTCTGCTAGTAATCGTATTAACCTAGGTTCGGCTAGGGCGGACTTAGC